AGTTCCACTTCCTACCTCCAGAGACTCAGATCCAGTTGATCTGGAGAAGGAAGGTTGGGGATACCAGTCTACCCCTCAGCCAGGCTGTGAACCAGTCACTGTTAGAGCTCAGCTGTGCAAACGAGATAGTAGGATGGGGATTTAAAGAGCCCACACTTGTAGCTGTGCAGGAGGATGCTTGAGAAGGCCCCTGTTTCTTTGAGAAACAGTCAGTGAGCCTCTGTGATGGTCCAGGTGAAAAATAACCAGAGGCTTAGTGGAGGCAGGTGTGGAGGGAGTGAAGATAATTGGAGGAGAGCAGCTAGAAGGCGTGTGGGGTGTTTGAGAAACAGAAAAGCGTGGTCAGACTGCCACAGAGAAAACCTACAAGGTAAAGACTGGGTGTCCTTGGTTTTGGCACTTCAGTGGGACGGTGGGAGCCAGATAGCCTTGGTTGAAGAACTTAACTGTTTGAAGAAGCATTCAAGTTCATTATGATCAAGAAAAGGTGTATAATCCCGGGGATCCAGAGTGAGTTCCAGGTGCGAAGGGGACAGACTGGTAAAGTAAGATGGGGCCATGGGATGGGCTTGTGTTATTGGTAGCGGGAAGATCCAGTTCTCTGCTTTTGGGCTGATGTGAACTTGAGAAGTGGATAGATTGAGATTAGAAGGGTGAAACCAGGTAGAATGAAGGCTGTTATAATGCCATTGCTGTTTTTTTTTCTAGTCCTGAAGATATTTAACAGCTATTTTAACAACGGAATGATGAAAATGTGTAGTATTCTCTCTGCCTGGGGATAATGTGGCCATGGAGAAAGGCCACAACTAATAGGAAAAATGAAGTTGATTGCTTAATTGTGGACTCAGTTTATTTGTGTTCTTCCTGTTCCCTTGCCACATGTTTTCTGAGTTGAATCATTGACTACGCCAAATTTTTCTCTTAAGAGTATGTGTGTTTACCAAAAAAAAAAAAAAAAAAAAAATGCTCTGCAATTCTTCTGCATCCTGAAAATATTAAACAAACAAACAAACAAACAAAAAAGCAATGTACATACAGGAGAAAAGTGTAGGTCTTGTTTTTGTGTGATTTCAGTTTTGTAAAGAAGAACCACTTGGGGCGATGTGTAATGGTTTAGATCCGGGTTTCTCAGCCTTGGCACAGTTGACATTTTGAACTTGTTGGTTCTCTGCTGTGCACCATAGAATGGTTATCAGCCCTGGCCTCTACCTACCAGGTGTTTGTAGTACCATGATCCTCTGGTTGTGACAACCGAAATGACTCCTACCATCCATTACCCAGAGTGCCCTGGGTGAGGAGTGGGGGAAGGCAAAATTGCCTAGATGGAGAACTATTGGTTTAAATGAAGTCTAGTGATTTTATCAGAAAATAACCACTTCTTCCTGCTGCAATGGTTTTATTGAAGCTTGTGGACTCGGCCACTGCTTTTTTTTTTTTTTTTTTTTTTTATTGCCAGACGAAAACGAATGAATGTTTATAAATTCTTTTGTCGAAAGTTTATTTAAAAATATTTAAAGAGAAAGGAAACGCTACTTAACTGGTTGCCTAATGATTCATTTGCTTACCCCACTTGCCCAGTCTTTCATTTAGTTCTTGGATCTGCTCACATAATTTTATAAGGATAGAATTGGCTTTTCTCCTGGGCCTTTAACTCCTCAATGCAAAGGTATTATGAATTAGGGAGTGCCCAAATAATACTGCCAGTTTAGACCTGGGTGTGAAAATGTCGATTTCGCACAGGACTTGGATCCCAGTGTTAGTTTCACACGTAAAGCCTTCTTACTTTGAGTAAGCTCCTCTGATTTTTCTGTGCAAATTTTCCCACCTGTCAAGTGAAGGAGGTAATCTATATTATCAGTAAGTTTGCTTCTAGTTCTAACTATTTAAGATTGAAATATTTTGATTATTTCCTTTGGGTTGGTCCTGATCCCACAATACCCCCTCTTCTCCATGTAGGGCACCCCAACATGTGCTTTGTTGGTCACTGATGATCCATAGACCACGGCTGGTCTACAATTAGCTAAGTGCAGGAACGAAGAGTAAACAATTAGAAATGTGTCTTTTTGTTTGTTTCTTTTTGTTTTTATAATTCAAGTGTGTAATTCTATGGGTGCTACATTTAATGATAAAACATTAGGCTTCTATTTTGGCCTAGTCTTTTAAATTCAAATTTTTCTAGTAATTCATTTTGATGATAGTTTATGGAAATTTTAGTCCACGTTTGATTGGAAGAACAAAACGAAACAAATTGGCCTTTCAGCAGAGGTAGTCTGAGGAGCACTGTGGAGTGTGCTTAAGGTACAATGGAATCTTTTCTTTGGCTGCTCATCTACTCTGGCCAGCAGGAGATGTGTAGTACCTTACTCCTCCGGGATTTCAATAAAAACAAAGGCAAGATAATGCTTGTTTGTTGTATTAGCAGCATACAGTTGGTGGCTAATAGAATTTTTATAAAGCGAGTTGCCTTACAGAGAATAAGAATTAATTCTAGAGTAAACCCCAGGTTCTTTTTGATTGCATGTACATATGCTTGCACATAGCTCGTGTTGGTGTTTGGCTTAGGATAACATGTTTATGTTAGACCATGAACCGGAGAGCAGTGGGCATAGCCTTTCTTTCATTATTTTATTCCCTAGAATCCCTTAGGTAGGGAATCTACCATCATGCTTGGTATACCGGAGTCTCCATAGCTAGCCGATGTTGGTGAGGGTAGGCGAAGAAGGAAAAGGTACGGATTGCATGCACTCAGGAAAGAGATTACCAGCGGTGTTTTTGAGACTCTTCTGTCACTCAGACTTCTTCCACATATGGGAAAATATATTTGGTGGAGTCAGGTGTGGTAGGCTGACAGGCAAATCAGGGTAGTTAAGCAGTAGACCACTTTACAACTTGACCTTGGTCTTCGCATGCTGAAATAGGGTAGAGGAGTCACACTTCCACCCGACAGTTACTTGAAGCAGAAAACCTCGCTGGATTCCCTGCGCCGAGGACCACTTGTTCCCGTAGCTTTTATCCCACATCGAGTGGGCTGACTCAGGGCTCTTCCCCTCCTGGGAGCTTATGCACATGAGCTGGCCTTGCTGGGAGCAGCCTCTTGGTCAGCAGTCCCTTTTTGGTCTGTGTGGGTTTTGTAAGCACTTCCTCCTCCACAGTCAAAAGGCAAGAGCTTTGCCTGCCCTATTAACGGCATCAAATCACCCTTTCTTTCAGTTGTGTTTTTTTAAAAATCCGGAGGATGAAAATATATAACATATTTGGAAACCCCGAGGGTGGACTTGGCAGGCGTCTTCTATTTACTTGGACTGAACACGAATTAGGTTTGGGCCCCTGGTTTCCCCGCCTCCCCCTCTCGGAACAAGTTATTTATTATTCGCGCGAGTCTGCCTCAGCGGATCAGACATGCACATGGCACGTCTGTTGTGAGTGTGTGAGTGCAGGAAGATTTATGCTAGCCCAAATTGTTTTATATTGGTTTTCATTGTTGAAAATTCACTGTATTCATTCTCGGTTTGGCATGTACGCGTTTGTAGTGTGCTAGGGGGTTCCTGTGGTTGAATGTTTTATCACTGTAACACTCCATGCAAAGGAAATTAAAGAATATATAGTGAAAGCATTTCCCTAATATGTTTCCAATCAGCTGTGTACTTTCGTAATTTGATTTGTAGGAACTAGAGAGGAGAGCATTACTGAGCTCTTTTCAATCATTCATAACCCTCTGGGAATCCAGATTATGGTTCCAGGCTATGAAAATGACTATCAAAATGTTCTGAAGCCCTTTATTATTCTGTTCGTATGTAGTCAGAAGGGTTTGTTGTTGTTACCCCAGCAGAATTCAGGGAAGGAGGGAAGTCTCCTCCCTGTATCTTGGAAAAGGAAAACTGATGTGAACTGATGTGATTGGCTTGGCAGAAGTCAATCATTGGTACCAAGAGGCAGGTCCTTTTAGTGCTGCATTATCCTGTATGTGTTCTTGCTTCTGTACTCTTTGGACTAAGCAATTGGATTCTCACTGATAAATCCCTTTGCTTACTCTGTTTTCCCCGAAAATAAGACAGTGTCTTATATTAATTTCCCCCCCCAAAGTTGTGCTGGGTGTTATTTTCGGAGGATGTCTTATTTTTGGGGAAACATGGTAGTAGGCTCTTAATAATCTAATACGTAGTGCTTCTTCTCACAAAGTGTCGCACATAGGAAGGAGGGTGTTTAGACAACTACAATCAAGATCTTGAATGTGAGCTTTGCATCATTATTTATTGGCTCCTTCTACAGGGACTTAACTTGCTTGTGGCCTCTTTTGAGCATCTCTGGTCTTTGATTTCTGCTTGTTTCCTCTCCATGAGGGAGCCTGACTTCTGTTTGGCTAGTGAATTAACATGTGATAATCTATATATGGATCATTCCAGATTTCCTTAATCTAGTTCACAACCTGAAATAAATAAAAGTGAAATATGAAATCATAGCTCTGAGAGATGGGAGGCACGACTTGGCGTGGGGGGGGGGATTCAGCTGATGAAGATCATAGCTTGTCAGGAGATTCAGATGGAAATAGAATTTTGCAACTATTTCTATTTTTTTTATTTTCTGCTTTTAGTTCCTACCATGTTTTAACCTTCCCTTTTGACCTTCAGCAGTTTTTGAGTCCACCAAGTCTTATGTAAGATCCCCTTTCACTGTGTTGTTTTAGCCTCAGTTCTCCTCATATTTCATGTGGCATAAAGTCACGTACAAGGTTATGAATTTTGGCCAAGAGGGCTCATCAATCCATGGTTTTTCATGTGAAAATATAGTCTGTGCAGTTAATCTTCTCAGCAGTCAAAGAATTAATGCAAGTGAAAGCCAAGTGGATATTTTAAAAGCTTAGTTGTGTTTTGGAGAGAAGAGCAAAGCAATTTGATGGGTCCTGTGATCAGTCCTGGCTGAGATGACAACTTCTTTTGCTTCAAAGATAAAGGGAAAAAAACTCATTGTTGGCCTGTCTTCTGCTTCCATTTCCGGTCTAGGTTGCACCTATGAAGGAAACACCTATAACAGCTCCTTCAAGTGGCAGAGTCCTGCGGAGCCCTGTGTCCTGCACCAGTGTCAGGTACGGTCCAGCGATCTTACCCTCCCGTGGAGAGGAGTCTGTGGAGTCCTCCTCAGGAATTTCTTTCAAACAGCACAGAACAAAACAACAACAAGCAAACAACAACAAAACCCAACTGTATTTTTGTGCATATTGGTTGTGGCAGTCACTGAGCCAAGACAGTACAGGATAGGTATTGTATAGGACTTGCTTCTAGAAACACACAGTGGAATTGTTCACCATTGTTCAATTGGGCCTGGAAAAACTCCTGGAAGATGCATATGTCCTTGGGGAGAATTCAGGACTTCCTGTGAGCCAACTTTAAGCAAAATACAAATTCCTGTGAGCAGAAAGAGGTACTGTTAGAGGTAATGTTTTCCTCCTTTGATTCAGAAACATTTTGAATTGGAGCCAATCTGTGCACTGTGTTCAGTCACAGCAATTAGTACACTGCAGCCTCCTTGATTTCAACCCAACTCATTTAAGAACCACCGGGGCGGCTCCTGAGGAGCCCACTGTGGCTGGTGCTTGCAGAACTCAGAAGGAGCGCTGACCCCATGTGGCTCTCTGATGGTGAAAGGTCTGAAACACAGCGAGATAAACAAAAGGACACAGGCAGACTCTCAATGCTCAAACTTCTTTTTCTCTTACCCCTTGAAAAATGCTCTTTCAACAATGCTCATTGAATTTGGATATAATTTTTAAAGTCTTCTCTGTAGAGAAGGTGCTGTTAAATCATTCTATCCCTAACCCCTTTTCACAGTCCAAGCATATGCTTTTGCATTTAAAGGAGAAAGGAAGGTTAGTATAATAATGTATATTTCTCTCTGACCTTTTTCTTAAAAATATGTTTTTATTAATTTTAGAGAGAGAAAGGGAAAGGGGAGGGAGAGAGAGAGAGACATTGATATGACATGAATCAGTGGCCTCCTATATGCATCCCCAACCAGGGATCAAGCCCACAATCTGGGTATGTGCCATGACCTTTCTGTGCACAGGACAATGCCCAACCAACTGAGCCACATTGGCCAGGACTCTCTCTTATCTTCTCTCAAATATTTACATTTAGCCTGGCTAGAGTGGCTCAGTGGTGGAGCATTAACCCTCCTGAGGTCATCCATTTGATTCCTGATTAGGGCACATGCCCAGGGTGTGGACTCAATCCCCAGTTGGGGGTGTGTAAGGAGGCAGCTGATCAATGATTTTCTCTCATCATTGGTGTGTCTATCTCTATATCCCTCTCCCTTCTTCTCTCTTAAATCAATAAAAATATATATTTTAAAATTATATTTACATTTAGTTTACTGAAATCTGAATTTTACCTATTCCCATTCTTATTAAATGCCCACAGGTTCAGTAACAGTGGAGACAGTGCAGTGTAGCAAGGAACTTCTGGGCCTGCCACTTATGGCATTTGCTATCTAACATCCCTGGACCTCACTTTCATCCCCGTGAAATGAGGCTGGTACTGTCTCACAGGGTGGTGGCAAGCAATGAGGAGCCTGGAGTTAAAATCACTTCAGGCAGAGCCTGCGTGTCTGGGGTCCAACTAGGTACCAGACATAACAGCTGGTCCGATGACCTGGTTTATTTCCATTTGCGTTGAATTCCAGCTTATTTCTTAGATCCTTCTACCAAAGGAGTTCTGATGGTGAAAAAATTCACATTGATTTTCTGCTTTTAGTTTCTTTTTTTTTTTCTTTTTCTTTCTTTTTCTTTCTTCTTTTTTTTTTTATTGAAAGAGGATGCTCTGAAGAGGAGACAGGAAATTCATGCAAACCTGAATTCTCCATCTGGATTGCAGATAATAAAGGGAAATGGATGTTGAGCCCTAGCTCTTTGCATTGTTTCAGTTAAATAACTAAAGCTCAGATCCTTTTTTAATGTCTATTATAGAGTTTTGGCAGCTGTTTTTTTTTTTTCTTTCCAACTGTGATATAGATCCCCAAAAACTCCACTAGTGGTGGCCACCTCAGGTCTGACAGATATGAAGACGTGTAGGAAAGAACCCTTCCATGTAGGATTGAGATGTGCTGGTGGCGGGCACGATGAAGAAAAGCATCTAGTTATTAGATGGTTATATTATTTGTAGACTGTGCTACACCTCACCTGAAAATAAGACTAAACAAACAGCAAACACACATACACACACACACACACACACACACAAATCCATGTATAAAATATGGAGAGAATATTGTGAACATTCTTTAAAAGCCAACTCTAAAAATTAATTTAAAGTTTCAGTTGATATTCAAATACTAGAATCCCAGGATCAGTTTGCAAACAAGTCACCTGATTTCACTATTAAGATCTGAAGTCTCTCTTTTGGCCTAGGTACTCTAAACTTGAAAATTGTTTTATCTAATCTCTTCAGTGGATGCTGGCGAGCCAGTCTCAAGTGAGGCAGAGTGGGATGTCTAAATTACAGAGCTGGTCTAGGTATTTCTGGAAGGGTTTAGGATTTAGTCTCCAGATGCCCATCTGGGATATTATTGTTCATACTCTTTGCCTCAAAATTAATGGCTTAAAGTATAATGACAGTGATAGAAAATACAGGTAAGTGTATTTTTGAAAACTTAAAAGTAATTGTGAATGAACAGCAAGGCACTGCAGGCTACTGACTGGCACCAGGTTCTTAAACACTAGATTTATTTATTTAAAAAATATTTTTATTGATTTCAGTCAGGAAGGAAGAAGGACAGAGAGAGAAACAGCAATGAGAGAAAACCATTGATTGATTGCCTCCTGCACGCCGCTTACTGGGGATCAAGCCCACAGCCAGGGCATGTGCCCTGACAGGGAATCGAACCGTGACCTCCTGGTTCCTAAGTCCACACTCATCCACTGAGCTATGCTAGTCGGGCTTAAGCACTAGATTTAAAAGAAAGAAAGACAATAGGGCCAAAGAGAAAGAGTAAGATTAGGGTGAAGAACTAGCCTCCGTGGGCTGAGCCAGGGAGATCTGATCTCATCTGGGCCACATACCTCTGGACCTGACACCACCCTCGCTTTGCACGTTTGTGTTGGGATTCCTCTCAGTTACCTTGGTGACTTTCCAAAAGTGAACGCGTCTGCAGCGGGGACTCTGGGCTGACCTTGCTGTTCTGTTTTTCAGGAAGGCGTTGTCACCGAGTCTGAGGTGCGGTGTGTCGTGCATTGTAGAAATCCCTCCAAGCATCCGGGAACATGCTGCCCCACGTGTCCAGGTAGACTCGCAGGACGGGGAGGCTGCAGGGACCGCTGGAACCTCTGAGCTCTCTGCAGAATGCCTGGTGTTCCCCTCTCCCAACCGACTGTTCCTCCCTTTACATCCGTGCGCCTAATGGGTTTAGAGAGCAAACTTCTTTGCCTAGAAAAGTCCAGCTGGCCTCCCTCGGAGCCCGGGATGAATGCAACGTGCTGTAGGTCTTGGCATGTGGCTGTTCGAGGCTCAGCGGCCCGCTTTCCACTCCACGGGCCGCAGGTGACGCTTATTTTGGAAGGAGAGGCTGTGGCTTTCCCTCGCTACCAAAAATGTCTTGACTGCTTCAGTGTGCAATCCCTTGGCCAGAGCTTGCCTGGGCGATGAGGTAACCAGATGTTTGCTGAAAACCGAGAGCCCTGTTCCCGAGGGAATTCAGCCTGTGCTCGTGCTGGCCTCCGCTGGCGGCCTGGTGCAGCAAGTTGGGCCCAGGTCTTTGCAGAGGCCCCACAGCCAAGCTGACGGTGGGGGGCTCCTTGCTCTCAGTGGCTAGAGGGCTTCCTCTCACTTCTCCGAGCAGGATTACCAAGGCCTCCTGCGCCTTTGCTCGCCCTTAGGGCTGAACCCGGGGATTGTGAGGTGAGAGATTTTTTTTTCTGAGCCCTTAAGCCCCTGGCCCATCCTCTTAGACAGATGTTCTGCATTTTGGGCTTTCCACAGTGTTTTTCCCCATTGGAGGTGATGCTCACAACTCCTCCTTGCTTTTGAGGTTCATCTCTAAAAAGTCTTGTGCTCTGCAAACCTTCCTGGGACATGGCTATGGCAACATGGTGGGTCACTCGACAAAGATGAGGCTCCTGCTGTTCCCCTCCACGAGGTCTAAAATATATCTAGACCTGAGTCCCTTCTGAGGTGTGGTCTTTCTCATCTTTGAATGACATAAGGCCAGGCCACTCTCCACTACTTCTGACCTTCCTAAGTTCCCTGCACAGTCTTTCCTCATTTTTTAAAAAATATTTTTTTATTGATTTCCAGAGAGAGGGAAAGGGAGAGGGAGAGAGAAAATCAATGATGAAAAAAAAATTATTGATCAGCTGCCTCCTGCATGCCCCCTATTGGGTTGCAGCATCGAGCTTGCAACCCAGGCTTGTGCACTGTTGGGAATCGAACCATCACCTCTGGTCCATAGATAGATGTTCAACCACTGAGCAACACCAGCTGGGCCATCCACTGAGCAACACCAGCTGGGCCCTGCACAGTCTTTACTGAGTCCATCTTCCTTTTGCTGTGACTTATTATTGGATGAGCGTACAGGAAGACCAAAAACTCATTGATGATTCTTTCCCTAAGCACTTTTTTCTTCTGAGTGCACCAAATATGCTTTGTATCATGTAGCCATACTCTTACATGTCGAAAAGGTCTTTATTAGGTTAGATCACTAGTTTTCTAGGCTGCACATTAACATCGCCCAAGAAGTTTTAAAAAATAAACATTGATGTATAGGCTGCATCACAGAGCAATTCCATCAAAATCTCTGAGAGGGGGACCTAGCCGTCCCAGGTAATTCCAAGCTTGAGATTGATAACAGAGCAGTTTTTTTTTTTTAATGCTGTATAGATTTTAAAATTGTCATAGCTCTTAAATATGAATTCAGTCATGTTGAGTAGACTGTTGTTTTATTGATACAGAATCAGTTGTGCACATATAACATTCCTCTTCAGTCAGGAGATAGTCATACTTTTTGGCTGCCTTTAATAGTGTGAGTGTACAAACATCAGAGTGACTTTATTTCAGCAATTGAAGTTATCATACTTGAGCAACTGCTTCATCCATTTTGTTTTTTGGTTGAGTTCCCAGAAGGAAAGGGTGAACTCTATGATTGTACATACTACACTATAGAATGCACTTGACCCACCAGTGAGGTATTGCCCAAAGCATAAAGGAAGGAATGAGATCCAATGGGAATAAGACCTGTGGGTGAGTAAAGGCCAACAATGGGGTTAGGGTGTGGCTTCCTCTCCTTCATGGCGACCATATTGTACTGCCTCCCACCTCCCACATACCATGATAACTGTTCTGCTTGGTTCCAGATGCCCTGGGAAGCAAATCTTTAAAGTTAGCATGCCAGCTGGGCAAGCTCTGTTCCCTCCACTATGGGGTCAAGAATCAACTGTGCACCTGGCCAGTATCGCTGAGCATCAATCTATGAACCAGGAGGTCCTGGTTCGATTCCCAGTTGGGACACATGCCTGAGTTGTGGGCTCAATCCCCAGTAGGGGGTCTGTAGGAGGCAAACAATCAATGATTCTCTCTCATGGATGTTTCTCTCTCTCCCTCTCCCTGCCTCTCTCTGAAAATCAAGGAAGACATTAAACAAACAAACAAAAAAGAATCAACTTTGCTCCCTCCCCCGCTTTCTCAATTTCAAAGGCCAACCTTTGGGATGCAGATCAGAGGCCACATCCAGAATGTGTCACCCTTTGTCTTGGGAGGGTGGTCTCAGCTCAGTCTAGACAGAGACCTTCAAGGGAAGCCTTGTGACATTCTCCTTCATAACTCAGGACTGGCATCTGTCATTGATCATGGGATGGTTTTTCCACATAATGACAAACATGCACCGTCTGTGGTCAGCTTCTTCCTGAGACACATTTCAGAGCATTCTTGGTTGTCTGCTCCTTCCTTTCCTCCTGACCCTTTGTTCAAAGATGGTGAGTTGTGACAGGAACAGTTTGCATGGAATTTTCATTTAAAATTCTCTATTTAAGTTGTCAAACGTAGATTGTTGTGGGTAATCACCTGGAAGTCTGTCTAACAGAATCAGTGGTACAAACATATGAAAGAATGGAAGACCCTTTATTTGCAGCATCTTTTAAAAAGATGACCGGGTACCTGCCTTTATGAACCATGCTGAGCTACAGCCACTGGGAGGGCTGCGGGTGGGTTCACCAAGTCTTCCCTAAGCAATGGGAACAGCAAGGGGTGGTGGAAGGCTGGATGTGGGTACCAACAAGACTTTACAAGCAGTTTCACTCCGTTATTCAGCTTCAGACTTGGTAGTGTTTGTCTCTGTGTCTTTCAATGAACAAAGGGCTCTATATCTAGCTTTAAAGTGAACAGGGTCCATATATCCTTTCTGATTTATGCATCTCTATGTTCATAGCAGCACAATTCACCATAGCTAACATTTGGAAACAGCTTAAATGCTTATCAGTGGATGAATAGATTAGAAAACTGTGGTACACCTATACAATGGAATACTATGCTGCTGTGAAAAAGAAGGAATTCTTACCATTTGCAACAGCATGGATGGACCTGGAAAGCATTATGCTAAGGGAATAAGCCAGTCAGTGAAAGATAAATACCATATGATCTCACTCATTTATGGAATATAAAGAACATTGTAAACTATTGAACAAAAATAGAGCAAAGAAGCATCAGACTATCAAACTATAGCGGGAAGGGAGTGAAGGGTTGGAGGGGGGTAAGAGATCAATTGAAGGTCTTGTATGCACACATATAAGCACAACCAACAGACTGTGCAAGACACTGAGGGTGAGGGGATAAGGGCAAGTGCCGGGCAGGGGGCAGATAGGGGAGGCCAGGGGGAGGTCAGTGGTGGTGGTGGGGGAGAAACATATGTACTACTATTTGTAATGCCCTAAACTAAACTAAACTAAACTAAACTAAACTAAACTAAAATATAAAGGTGAACATGTCCAGCAGCCAGATCAGGTGGATGAGGGCCATACTTGTTTCTTCTTGGAAGGGACCAGCTGCTTCAAGAATTGGGTGGGTTCTGTTGATGAGTTCCGTTGGCAGGCCTTGAACACTCGCTCCCAAGGGTATGAGGCTGTCTTTCACAACAGCCCCCTTTGCTGAGTGTTGGCCGTCGGACTGCTGCCTCCAGCACTGTCTATTATGTGAGAGTGACCTCAGCTATTCTGGCAAAGTGCCTCCTGAATATGGACCTGAGGAATAGTTGACGGTCCTCCCATGGCCTGGCTGTTAGGGGATTACTGGCCATCTATGCTTTAGGTCATTTGTGAGATTTGTTACGAATATATCAGTGTTCTGATCATCTTTCTGAATAGGAGACACCTCTTGGGCTTCTGGTCTTATTTTTATCCAGACTTGGTAGGGTAACACAACCCCTTTAACAGGACAAAGAGTGGGACTGAAAACCTGCAGGTATCCCCTGACTTACCTTTGTGTCTTCTTGTCTTGGTGCTTTGTTATCTGTACAGTGTGGCCAGTGGGTTAGAACTGAATTTGAATCCTAGCTCTGCCATCGACCAGCTCTCAGAGCCATGTCTTCCCCATTTATGGGGACAATGACAAAAGTCCCTACTTGGCAGGCTCACTGGTGAAGTTGAAGTGAAATCATGGGTATGGAGGGCCTGATAGAGGCTGGCAATTCCTGCTATTCACCGAGTGGAGCTCTTTAGGTCATTTGCTATTTAGCTCATTATTGATTTCTCTCACTGGGACTTTTTCTGTATGTCTCCTCTGGTCCCTCTGGCATTTGGTTTTCCTGGCCATGGTCAATGTCATGGTCAATGGTGAGTTCCACAGGCTCTACAGGGCTCACCACTGTGCACTGGTCCTCCTCAGGCTGACCTGGGCCCAACCTCTGATGTACTTTCAAGCATCTTGAGATTTTTAGGGTCACATCAATCTTTTGTATCTTTTGGTCTCCCTCCCTCCCTCCCTCCCTCCCTCCCTCCCTCCCTCCCTCCCTCCCTCCCTCCCTTCCTTCCTCCTTCTCTTTCTTCCTTCTTTCCTTTTTTCCTTTTTCTTACCATGAAGCAATATTGTCCTCTGGTTAAAGAGGATGCTCTTTAAGGTGGAGGTGGAGATGGGAGATGGATGAACAGTGAATAGAAAAATAGGGTCAAACTGAACAAAGGCTGCTGCCCTCATTCTAAACTCTGCTTTGCGTTCCAGGCTGTGTGTTTGAGGGTGTGCAGTACCAAGAAGGGGAGAACTTTCGGCCCGAAGGAGACAAGTGCACCAAGTGTTCCTGCATTGTAAGTACTGCCCTGGGTGGTCCAGGGACGTTCCTTCTGGTTAATTGCAGCTGGGACTCACCACGGGCAACCCTGACTCTCCTTACGTCTCTCCTTCTCTCCCTCCTGCTAAGGAACCCAGGGGAAAGCTTGTCTCTCTGGCATTAGGGCTGGGTAGGTCTTTGTCGTGGCAGCTGTCCTGTGCAATTGTAGGATGTTTAGTAGCCTCCACTTTCACACTCAGGTATGAAAACCAAAAAGGTCTGCAGATATTGCCACCTGTCCCCTGAGAACAAGGTCACTCCTGATTGAGAACCACTGGCCTAAGGAATGAGGGGAAGAGGCTTATTTTCCTCCACTTGCATCTTCTTTGGGGAGACATGGATTCTCTACTCTTTGGGCAAAGAAGCTTCTTGCTGAAGCAGCTGTTGAGTTCTTTAATCAAATGGGAAGCAGATGGGGTCAGCTTGTCTCAGTGTATTCTGTGTGGTGACAAACCTGGTCTAAAGATCGGTCAGTTGCGTTGGGGGAAGGAGCAGGAGGAAGTGGCCCCTAAGCTGTGGGTTCAGGGTGGAGCAGGGATTGGTGAGGAAAGCCACAGGCCTGCCTCTCCATGCATTGCTAACTTGTAACTCATGTACCAAGGATATCTTCAGAGTGCTTAAGAATGAGAAAAGGAGCTTGGCAGATGTTATGATGTGGAGGGGATCTTTTTTATTGATGTATTTTAAATTTGGAGTAGAATCATTGGTGATGATGGTGGTCACAGTGATGATGGGAACCTAGTCTTAACAAGCCATTCCAAGTTATTTACACCATATATTTTTAAAGCTTTTAATCTTTTGTAATAAAGAACATAAGCGTGCATCTCAGAATATTAAAAATAATGGGGAACTCTAGCATCGTAATTTCACCAAAGTAGAATCATATGTGGATCATCGTAAATCACAACATTTGTCATTTCTCTACATGTCTTTCCTAAAATCTTTCCCCTTCCTACAGCACATACAACTTAGAGAGCCCTGAGTAAAGTAAGCATGACCCAGGGTGAGGGTGTTTTTGTAAGGGGAAGGGGGAGGAAAGAAAGAAGAGGGAGGGGGACTGGGAAGGAGAGGATATGTGTGTGTGTGTGTGTGTGTGTGTATGTGTATGTGTGTATAAAATATATGTAATATGCGGTATATAATGCACATCATATTATAATAATATATAAAAAAAAAGATAATTTACTCATGAAAATGTACATGATTTTGCATATTTAGATTCCACTTCCATGTGGATAAATAGCTTTGCGTGTGTTTTTTTTTAAATGTAGATCATTTCTATTTACTATTAAATATTGCTTATTTTTTTCCTATTGGCAGCTGTAAAGTTTGCTGAATCATTTTTTTAATGTATCCCATTCTTTTGGGTAAATTGAGGAAAAACAAGGCACCCCTAAGTAGGAAATTTTAAATCTGCACCTAAACAAACTCTCTCTCCCAGAAAGGTATGCCACGGAGAAGCAGATGAGCCTCCTTGAGGCACTGGGGGTGGGACTTAGGATGTGGAAAGAGGATGGGAGATCCTGTAGATTCACCAACAACAGTCATGGAAGTAGTTTAATGTTGGAGAGCGGAAGTGAGTTTGGAGATTGTATGTGCAGGGTCACAACTCAAATACACTCAGGACATTCGGATTCCATGTGTTTCTAAACACAACGCATCTGAGGACCAAGCTCAGGGTCCTGGAAGTCCTGCTTTCATTTTTGGTTGAAGAGAAAAAATGCAAAGATGTTGGTTGCCCAAGCTTTCCTGCTCAGTGAGTTCTCTGCAGACCTATATGCTATATCATCTTCTGTACCCCTGTATCTGATTTCCTGTGTTCTTATAGTCCTAATCCTACATTCTTCCTAGTTCCCTTTTGCTATGCTCAGCACTTTGGAGCCACTCATGGCTCTGATGTCCACCTTTCCACTGAGAGGACAGAGCCCTGCTTGGGGATAGGACTCTGATGAGTAAGCTTGGGTATGGGAGGGCCATCAGAGCAGTTTTTATTTTTGAGAATACAATATTTTTTGCAGCTTGTTATTTTTCTTTATTGATTAAGGTATTACATGTGTGTCCTTATCCCCTCTGCAACTTGTTATTAAAATAACCTGGCTTTTGTTGTTTTTTTTTTTGTTTGTTAATCCTCACTCGATATTTTTTCATAGGTTTTTAGAGTGTGAGGAAGGTGGAGAGACAAAGAGAGAGAAACGTCAATGTGAGAGAGATACATCAATGGACTGCCTCCCGCACATGCTCTGACCAGGGAGGACCTGGGATCAAGCCTGAAACCAAGGTACCTGTCCTTGTGACACAGCACCCTAAAACCAGGACTGCCTTCTCTTCCAAACTGTGACATTCTTGCCCTTTAAAGCCATCAGCCCCCTCTTGCCGAGGAAGAATAGCTGTTGTTAGATAGACCTCCCATCTCATTGCCTCTGGATCAATGATTCTCTCTCATCATTCATGCACACCCTACACTGAGGATTGAGCATCGCCTCTGGAGTTGCGCACCTGTGAAAAATCCTTCTGAATATTACCTGTCTCTGATAAATGAATCCCCAACTCTTCCGGGTGTTCCCCACCTCGCCCCTCCAGTAAGCACTGTTTATGTCAGCCGGCTTGTGTTTCCCACCCAACCGCCTTAGTTACGCTCTCCAAATTTGGGAAGCTCTGTCTACCCATGCTTTTATGATGTGGTGACGGAGGCGGATAACTGGAGAGACCCCCCATCTCATTGAGATGGATTCTTTAGATAGTGAACCAAATGCCTGGCCCATGATTTTACGTCCTGACTTGGGTCTCGGCCGTCTATATGGCTGGCATTCCAGACAGCTGAGCGCATGCTGACGTCTGAAGATAACGTGAGAGGATTTCACAATTTCACTCTGACTCGTTCCAGAAGCAGAGCGCCTGACATTTTTAGGTGTGAATATCATCGTGACTCATGTGAAGACTTCTTTCCTATTCCTTGTGAAACTGTATCATCCCCATCTACTCATTAGATACATAGAGAGCCAAGAAAACCCCTTCTGCAGAGTCCCGATAGCAGGGGCGCAGACCTGAGCCCCTATGGCTGTTCCTCAGAGTTGTCTGTGCCATTTACTGTGTCTTCCTCCTCACCTGTGTTCAGTCTGAATAAGTCCTATATTTATTTTATTTTTAATATACTTTATTGATTTTTAGAGAGGAAGGGAGAGGGAGAGAGATATATAGAAACATGAATGATGAGAGAGAATCATTGATCGGCTTCTTCCTGCACACCCTACACTGAGGATTGAGCCTGCAACCTGGGCATGGAATCCTGACTTGGATTCCAACTGTGACCTCCTGGTTTATAGGTCAACACTCAACTACTGAGCCACACTGGCTGGGCTCTATATTCATTTTAAAAGGGAAAGAAGTTAACTCTTTCCTACGGCAGAAGGAAAGCACCTATCTGCCTCTCTTATGCTTAATCTTGAGCTTTTTATTACCTGCCCCATGGAACAGCACATAGCTCTGCATGCTTTTGTCAGGCAATTCACAAGGAACAGGGTGGTGGCAGTTGGCACAGACCTTTCTGTAAAATCCCGCGTCTCCCAGGCCCCTGAGACCAAAGACCAATGTGCCACTGAGAGATGTCTGCATTCTCTTCTCTCAGAAAACTATTTTAAGAAGCCTCCGGCTCTTGGAAACTGCTTGCTGAAGGGAGGGAAGCTCACGGAGCTGCCGGACGCTCTTAAAAGAGTGGCAAGTCCTCAGTCTGTAAAAGCAGCCAAATTAACCGGCCAAGATCAATTACTTTTGCTGACAAAGGCGTATTAAGTTCCGAGGATTTTTACTAATAAACATGGCTTGTTAATGGGCTGTCTGTGATGAAGGAGCCGTGCTTTATTGGCTCTCAGAGGCCCTGAAGTCCATAAACACCTTTGCTCTCACTTACACTTCGGAGATTGCAAAGTGCTGTCTCCCGGGAAAATGAACTTTTAGGATGGTTGTTTGGCGAGAACAAAGGAAATGGAGGTCTTCCTGGTACCCACCCCTCTTAGACCCAGTCCCCTGACCTCTGCCAAGTTCTTTGGCTTCTCATTCTCTCCGCTCTGGCCTCTGGGCAGGACCTCGGGTCCCCGCTGTACATGGTGTGGACCAGACCCACAGTCTTGGCCTCACCCCAGAGCTTGTTAGAAATGCAGAATCATGGGCCCCTCCCCCGACCCACTGAATTGAAATGCAGTTTCACAAGCTTCTTGGAGGATTCACTTGCCATTCGAGGAGCACTGGTCTAGCATTGCATGGCCTTGACCTAGGATGCTTTTTCTTCCTTCTGTCCTTTCCCCATCTACCGTGCCCTGTACCTAGCTCACACCCACCCATCTGCCTTCAGAAGCCCACACCTCCCTTCTGACTCCCAAACAAGTCCTGTTGCCAAACCCTTCAGAGCAGCCATACTTTACTTTCCAAATATTGAAAATGATTGCTAGCATTGTTGTGATTGATAATTTTAGCATTTCACTTCATTTGAGTACAAGGGGCATTCATAATCATCGCTCAATTTTCCTTTACCCCCCACTGCCTCTCTGGCACTCTGCTATTTATTTCCCTGGCACTGTGAGTCCTTGCCAATTCAGGGAACAAAGAGCTGCACACCACAGTGGATGCGCTCAGAGAGGAAGATGGATGTATGGCCCACTGCTGGAGCACTTACGGTATTATACATTGCATGGAATGTGGATGACTTCCCTGGAGATCTCGGGTCTGAGGCTTAGAGAACACTTTCTCTAAGCCTCAGAAATTGCTGCTGTAAATGGCAGCCAGAAGACGCAGTGGCAGGAAGCTCCCACTGATGATCAGGGCCGCGCTCAGGCTTGACCTTGTCTTGAAGCAAGGGGGAGAACCTCCGATCTCTCCCTGTCCCAGGGTCTGGCTTCAGGGTGCGCTTCGCTGGAATAGGAAGCACTGGGCCATCCCAGCAGCTCCCTGGTCATATGAGGCCACAGCCATGCAAGTGCCATA